ATCCTGGGCTGGGGATCCAAGAACTTCTATTTGAATCTTGAATCGTGTCCTGGGCTGGGGATCCAAGAACTTCTATTTGAAGCGTGAGTCTTGAATCTTGAATCCCGGGCTGGGGATCCAAGAACTTCTATATTTGAATCTTGAATCCCGGGCTGGGGATCCAAGAACTTCTATTTGAATCTTGAATCTTGAATTCCTGTACTTACTGCAAGTTTGGCCAAACAAAAATTGTAATTTCTTGCAATTTTTTCTTCATCAGCAAAGAAATCATAAAAACAACTCCAAGGACTACAAAAGTTTGCTTGAAACAGGTCCAAACCTCCAAAGCCAAACCTCCAAACTGTATCAAAACACCTGCAAATAATAACATTAGAAACTACAAAAAGGTAGGTCTATAGGGGGGGTACCATATATATATATATATCGAATACACATGCGCGCGCAGACACGCACACCCTCTGATTGTGAAGTCAAACAGTTTTTAATTGTACATTGCCATAGCAGCAGTCAGACCAAAAAAACGGACTTTAGATGACATGGTGAAAATGTGTGAAACTATCTATAAATAGAAGTTACTGCTAATTAAGTTTACATCCATGTGAATCCAATCTTCACAAAACCAGCTCTTGGGCTATCTGGGCTGCGTTCAAAGATCTACGAACCAATCACTGATATCGACCTAAGTGGAGTCCTCCACGTAAGCCTCAAATTTCTCAAGCTCTTCCCGCATCTTAGTGTTGGCCGTCCGCAAGCTCTTGGTTTCGAACCTTGGAGCAAAGCGTGAGCAAAGCGTGAAGTGAGGGGGGAAGGTGAGAGAAAGGGATGGAAACCCTGAAAGGGATGGGCTTGGAGCTACTCCTTCAACCCAAGCCCCATCTCTGTACAAACGTACACAAGGGAGCTTCGATGTTGGCTTCGAAGTAACACAAAGGATGATGATAGATTCCACCCCCACAAAAGGTCGATGGAACACCATTGCCTCATATAGCCTCCAAAACCCAAAATTCCATCTTCATCATTCTTCATCCATCCTCATATTGCCGCGTTGCTCATGCTCGCGGAGGAGGACTCTCTTCAGCTGCAAGAGCTCCGAGTTCAAGACTTGCTCGAAGGGCGTCTCGGCCGAGCCCATGTGATCCAGCACCGAGCGGTGCATCGCGGGGCTGCGCGGTGGGTGACCCACCGCGCCGTGGACACAGCGGTGTTTCGCTGGGCTGCGCGGTGGAATGGACAAGCGCGGCAGTGGAGTGAGGCTAAGGCGGCTAAGGGCCAAGATGGTTCCGGAGAAAAGTGTCGAAAATTCTGCTCCATCCGGAAGCCACGAGATGTCATGCGAATCCATTGAAATGAAACTGGGTTCCAAAAGAATTTTGACCAACAGCCCATGCAAGTTCTTCCCTACGATTCTGTAGTATTGGGTCCCACAAGTCCCACAAATACAACACCAACGCCTACCTTCAACCTTGGGTGCCTCCACCCAGTAACAGGTTTAATCAAGTGGTCACTCCGAGACGGATTGTATGGAAGCACCTAGACTCACTGATGCATCATTCCTACTTAACCATACAGTGATTTTTTTGTAATTAGGGTGACGAAATGTCTTGGACTGGGTGCAGCTGGCACTTGTTGTTGAATTCAACAAATGCATATTCTGTATAGTATCACACATACATATCGCCTGTTTCACTATCTTCAGAACACGGCGCACAAACGGCGCAACTGCTTCGGTGACCTTCCGCGCTCCATTCCCAAGTAGCAGGTTGGCCTGGCTCCGGCCAGAGGTCAAAGCGTATGTATATAATTATAGCATTGTGGATAATAATAATAGATATATTGTATTATTATATATTATTACACAATATTATACATAGTATATATATCCTGTAATTATATATATAAGTGATACAAACGCATTGGAAGTGTGATAAATTACGAAGCGTTGACACCTTCAATATCCTTTAATTAGGATGCGCAAGGTTGGAGGTCCCAAAATGTGGAGGGCAGGGTGTCTCATGTTTCTGGCCGAAGAGTTCCTTACGGTGTTGGGTGGAGAACGTGTTTCTGGATTTTGAGGATTCCCTACCAATCGAGGAAAGCTGTGCGGTATCTCAGGGAGATACCAATCAGAGTCTGAATTGGCTTTGTCTGCAGTTAACTTTGGACCGTGTCCCGAAGTGTCAGTTTAGTAACAAAAATTGTCCACGGAGTCCACTGTCGACTGTCACTGGGAGAGGGCAGGGTCTAAAGTTCGCTTCTCTCTGTCTCATTCGAGCGGAACATTTGGTCACCCAAAGGCAGAAACACTTGGCCTCCCCAAAGCAAATCCCGCGCCGCCAGTCCAAAAAAATGCGACTCACGGAGACCACTGCAGACCAACGCGAAGCACACGGCACACGGCAGTCGTCGGTCGCACCTGCTCCGACAAGTCCTCAGAGGGCAAACCCAAGCGCTCCTGTTCCTTCCGAGCCTTCAGCCGCTTCACCGCCTGGCCGACGGTGCGAGTCGACTCAAGGGATGGGTGAGACATCGGTCCGGGCTCGCCAAAACGAGTGGCTTTGGTTCTGGCAAGTTCACCCACCTGGGTCGATCCACGTGCGGAGCCGGATCGAGCAATATGCGATCCACGGGGGAGGCGATCCGTCTTGTACCGGAAAAAGGACTCCCGATCAATTCCTGAAGAATGGGAGTGAGTTTCCGTGTTTTCCCGGAGAAAGCAGCTGCGGAGACACTGAGCCAATCTGAAGTTTCAGAGTCTGACAGCAACCGCCATCCATCAATCACGTGTGAGTGACGACCATCGCAGTCCTATACCAGGAAGCAGCTCCCAACACCATCCTGCCTCACCATCCAAACCACGACCCGGACGGTACGCCATGATGGGTCCACAAATTGGGTTTTGGAAGTCGAACGAATCTCACTTGGAAGTCCTTTCGGTTCCTCGGATGATGTTTGTTTGTTCGTAGGTTTGTTTGTTCGATGTGTTCGTCAAGTCCTTTTCCAGGGCACAAAGTGCGATTGATCCGACTGCCGGGCAGAGTGTAGTTGGTCGGGCAGAGGCCCCCAAGATCATGAAGGTTTGAGGGTCAGTCTTTATCCAGTCGGTGACGGTCAGTTAGTTGGCGGTCGGGTCAGTTGCTTGCAGTGTAGTTGATGTCTTGCTCCTGTAACTTCTCCTGTGGTTGCTCTGTATCTGTCTATTACTGTTCCCTTTTTAGGCTTCAGCGGTCAAACTCATCCCGGGCTGAACCCGCGGCGAGTCTTCTCGCTCAAACAGCACAAGTGCCGATCCTGTGGATCATTGGGTTCCCATCCAACGGCTCGGGGACCGAAGGGTGGTTTCACTTTACAGCTCGGAAGCTCGGAAGCTGTTTCTGTGCCGAAAAGAAACATCACATGATTGTGCCCAAGATTGTGTAGAAGCTCAAAAAGTACCTCGGATGCTGTTCATGTCTCAGACTGTCTCAACTTTTCGCAACAACGATTACCCATCAACCCTAACAGGCACTTAGATCTTATCAGCTAGTAGGTTGGAGGCCAGCGCCGCTATGATAATGATTGGAAGTCATTCTGGAACAAACGTCCGTTGTGCCGGTTCGCTCGTTGTCCTTCAGCTGATGAGCCATGTGTGCACACAGCGGAAGTCACACAGAGGTGAATTGAAGTCACCCAGGGGGTCTTCTTGGGGTCGGGGGGATGCAGCCAAGGTGTGTCTCGCCCGGATGGGATGAAAGAACAAATCCGAGGTGGGTGATCTGGCTTGCACAGATACCAGGCATCTCCAACTCAAAAACCATATAGCTCCTTCCCCGCAATGAAATCCCTTAGCTAAGGAACCACACAGGTTCTTTGTGTGGATTGAGGGAGACGAAATTTTCCCCTTAGCCAGCACAAGCCAACCCCTGCATTGTCGAGCTATGTTACATTCCAGTTGTTCTATGTCAGTGAAAAAGCTGGAAAGATCAACACAGCAGCAACCTTCACCGTTCTGTCAAACATCTGGCCGGCCCTAGACAGAGGCAGTGGACAACCGTGGGCCCCTCCGGAACGTGGACATTGGCACACTGCCCACCCGTTTGATCCCTGTCCAATCACCATTCGAACACAGATTTTTGGCTGCGCAGCTTGGGTCAAGCCTGGCCGAAGCTGAACGGCTCAGTTGATGGTCTGATTCGGGGCAGAATGACTGCAACAGGTGTCTAATTAGGAAGGTCATGGAAGGTCCCTTTCTCAACACTTTGCATGAAGAAAAATGAATGAACAACAAGAACCGGTCCCTGTCTCAACACTTCGCATAAAAAACAATTGGATTCATAGAGAAATCAGCCAGCCTAACATACCCTGCAGGCATATCTGGTCCGTCTACCTTTCAACTTCCTTGTTAAGGGGATTTGGCAAACGGCATGCCTCCACAAAACCATAGCAAAATGGATAAAGTTGCGGTTCCGAGGCTTGTTTGCTGGTGGGTTGCTAAAGTTTGGATATGTTGTTCAACCCTATTTCGTCCTTGTTGTTGATGTGTGTTGTGTGGATGGTTGTCAGCTTTTGCGGGCTCTCACTTTCTCTTGGGAGGATGTTGATGGATGAGGTTAGGATGTATTGAGGCTGTTGTGCTTCGATGTTTTGGCTTTCAACTCCTCTTTCATGGCTTTCAACTCCTTAATGACGTTCGCAAGGGCTTCAAAAGAAAATGCTTTCCATCCTCGAGATCTCGACTCTTCGAACCCTGGCTCGACTGGACGGCTTATATATAAGCGAAGTCCTCTGCGGGGACCGATGTCGCCACACAAGGTATTGGTTCATCAGCTGAAGGATGTGTATCCTTGCATACATCAATCGCAGTTGGCTTTACAATCCACTCAAAAGAACTCTACCTCTTGGCAATGTTCCCGACTCCAGCCATTTCTGCCTGTCATTTTTTCTGGGTTAGAAGGTGGCGTCGTTGACATCGCACCCTTGTTGGCACAAATGTACCAGTCTATACTACAGTCGCACAACAACAAAAGCAAACATACTTTCAGGCACGCAAACGTGGAAGCTCTTTTGATATCTTTTGTTATATTATACGTAAAACGAGCAACCAAGACCAAGACGCAATACGAATCAAAAAAACAGAATAGGAAGGGAAAATCAAGAACGAGAACAATTGCAAGAACAAGGACACGGGCAAGGACAAGAACAATGAGAAAAGCACAAGAAAACGACATCTCAGCTGAGCCCAGACTGCCTTCGTCTCCGCCTCCACCCCTCTCAGCAACTTGGCCAGCAGCCTCCAGAAGAATCAGGACAGTACTTGGTTGCTACCAGTATGGACCCAACTGAAATCTGCGACACTCATCTGCTACACTCACGTTCACGTGGAAGTGAAGCCTCCCCTGTTTGTAGAGAAAAGAAGTCTTAAGTCTTTCCGGGGCCGTGCGGAGAACAAATAGTACTTCTTTGTCCTCCACGAGGATGACCGGTTCGTAGCAAGAACAAACAACAATTGCAACGCAATAAAAATTCCAGGACTCCTACTGTAACCATCCATTGACTATATTAGAATGATGCCGCTGCTATCGGACTTCATGTCATCGGAGCAGGAGGCCTCCGAATGGCGCTTTTAAGTGGAAGGGAAGGCCGTGTGAAGCGCCGATGGCGAATTGTGCACCAACTGCAGAGAGTCTTTGGTATGCCATCAATGGAAATCCGAGAGTGTGAAGATGTACGCTGTACATCACTTTGTTTCATGAAACCACATGATCCGTCCGCAGAGGGCGGGCTCAGCACGCTGAAAAGGCGCGGACGCGCGGCCCCAGTCGGTCGCCTTTGTGCTTCGACGTTCGATCGTCGGTTCACCTACTTGCTGGAAGACTTCGTGCGTTTCCAGTTTCTACATTGGTAGCGGAGCCCGGTTCAGGCCGGGCTCCCTACCCTGCGCACTTCGCGACGGCTTCCCGAAGGCTTGGAAGAAGCCCTACGTCACGAACGGTTCCAAGAGCTCTATTTTCCTACCTAGGTCTTTGTCTGGCTGCATTTCTCATCCGCTACCACATCACCCAAGCGAACCAGCAGACCTTTGAGGAGCTCTTTGGCACCATGGCCCAAAAGAAAACACCACAGACGCAGGCATCCGGCTCGGCGGGAAGCGGCTCGGCAACGGGCTACCTTGACCTCAGGGACTCCTATGTTCCCATCTTCAGTGGCCAGCCGAGTGACTATACACTTGTATCACCGCAAGATGTCCATCACCAAACGTGGGAACGAGAGCGTCTTGAACATCGTGGGCAGCTTCACAGGCCTCACCTGGAGGCTCTTCCAGGATTGGGCATTGGAGGATCTCGAGAAGACAGATGCCTTTCCGAAGATCATAGAGGTCCTCGACCGGAA